AAAACTAACAAACATTCAAGTACCAATAGAGGGGTTTGGAGAAGGATATGATATTAAAATTTCTTATAGAACGCTTTCCTGTGAGTTGAAACAGTAACAAAGTAATATATGTTGTTTCATAAGTATGTATCCAGTGAATCTTGTTTTTGGAAATTAATGCAAATCTAGAGTGTCTGTAGCATAACACTTTTGGATTTATTTCCTCATTAATGAGTATTGGACTAGGCAAGGTTATGCATACCTTTCTAGTTGAAATGTGCCCTGTTTCTTGCTTCCTGTGATCAAAGTGAAAAATCTGACCCAGGAAGGCAGGCTTCTTACCTGTTTTGGCTTCCCCCTGCCAACGTGCCATTCATGGATGACTTGTCGTTTTGGCCCTCTTCCTGATGTAGGGAGTCTTAGTTCTTTGGGCAGTGGGGTGAAGGATAACAAAGCAAAATCCTTAGGAGAGAGAGACATTTCAAGGGAAGACACACTAATGCAGCATGTTTGCCTAAGTACATTTCTTCCTTCGGAATGGAAACTAGAAAGTCATTTATGTAAAAGTAGTCTTTTTTCCTCTATCTGTAGTAGTTTACTTGCAACATTCAAAATAAGATGACAGTGTGGGGACTGGCATATTTGACTACTTAACATTGTATAGAAAACTGGTTAGATTTAAATGGCTATTCAACTGGCTCCCATTCTAGCAGATCAGTATTTCTGTGGAGATGATTTCTTCCCGTTGTGTCTTGTCATGTTGTGTCTTGTCATTATGGCTGTATGGCGCTAGTATAAACTGACGTCTGTGGTCACCATAACAACATTTTTACCTTTTGTATGTTTTTTCTCTGTTCTCCCCCGTGGGTTGCAAATTTCAGAATCTAGCCTTCTGTGTTGCCCAGTCACGTAGGTGCCTTTTGCCATCTGTGAGCCATTAAACCTTTTGAAGAGGGAGCTTTGCAGATGGTGTTAAGTCTTGTACCAAAGTAAATCATAAGTGAGATTTGGACCAGAAGTGGTCCTTAGCAGCTCAGAGCTCTGCAGAGTTGTGCTGCAGCCGGTATCAGGTGTCCCAGCTGGGAGGCTGGTGAGCAGGTGAGGAAAAGCTCAGGGATTTTGTATCAGTTTTTCTCCTTTTCAGGCTCTCTTACCAAGCTTTCGGATTTCTTAAAAACAGTTAAAAGTTTGCTTTCTGAATGAAGCAATGCTTGTGCATCCCTTTTTGTCTTCTCTCAAAGATCATTGTAATGCTTACTATAAGGATTAATCTGGAGTAGGGAAATACATTGGGGACTGAAACTCCATCTAAAACTTTGGGTGTGTGATGCAATGGCTTCAATGGAAACCTATAAAAAGTCAGTTTTAAAACTTACATTCCATCCTTTGAGAGTAGATATGTTTTAAATTTGATTCTCACAAGTGACCTAAGAGAACTGGGAAATGGAAAAATCAATATACGCACATAAGGTCAGACTCTGTTCAGAAGCCTATCTTTCCCCACTAATTTAAACAGCCATTCTAGACATTTTGACATCTGTCGCCCAAGTCAGAATCACTGTTGGCCAGCAGGGCAAAGCAGTACTCTGGGTTCTTATCTAGGATAGAGGGTAGAGGTGGGTATCGGGGAAAGTATATGGAGGGCTGCTACCCACTCTGTACCCTCCAACCTGGTGATTGATTTAGCAAGTACTGTAGCATGGAGCTATGGGATGTTGGTTTTATTGACTAAGCAGAAGGAGGAATGCTGAGGTTTTAATCACACTTGGTGTTTCCGGAGTGAGGATATGGTGCTGACTTCGAAGCTTTAAACGTTTCACAACTTTTTACTCCTTGATGATACATCAGCTTTGTTTTCTGGAGGATTGTATGCTACAATACGAGAAAGTTCGGTTAACTTGTGAGTAGGGACCACTGAATTGGTGATGGCCTGAATGCTTAGAATTTTGCAAATACCTTTTTTCAGACAATTCTTTAAGGCCCAAATGCAGACTTTTCTATGCTATCTGTGTTTTTTGTTTGTTTGTTTGTTTTTTGGTGGTTAAGACTATCATGTCAGGTGGTTGGATTTTTGTTTGAATTGAATCCCTTCCTCAGGTGATATGTCTAGGCAAAAATGATTACTGCAGGAGAAGCTTGGATGCTTGATAATCCTGCTGTAGGCCAAAGTCTTTTAAAACCTCTAGTGGTTTTCATTATTCCTTTGTCCTCATTGCCTTCTTATACCAAAAAACATTGCTGTGCTGACAAGGAAGGAAGATAGTAGTATAGTAAGTAGTCTGGGCTGTTACTTCTATGCAGTTGGGAGTATGGGAAAAGAAGTGAAGCCGGAAGGTGATCATTCAGTGGAATGGAAAGCAGCTGGTACAACCTTTGTAGCTTTGACTTTGGTGCTTGTATGAATGCCATTTACTGGATTGCGTTCCCCTCGGGTCCTCCAACCCTGATTCCAAAGGTGGTCCATGTGGAGCTCGCAGGCTCACTGATTTTGCTTGGCTTATAGTGAGCTGAAATGGAATTGTCAGCATGTTCAGAAATTGAGAGCTGGCTAGAAATCAGGATTTGTGATTTCTTTAGGAAACGGAATCTCAGGAAACATGGCAGTTGTTGCTGAGCTCAGGGAAATGGACCTTAGATTTGTCTCATGAGCTGCCCCATCTTTCCACCAGTATCTGCTGCTCCTTTTATGCCTGGCCTGCTTTATTCCTGTACTGGCGCTGACAGATGCAAACATAAGATAGGAGGCGTGGTCAGTATTCTCTGCAATCAAATTTTAGTGTATATTTTGAGGTCTTTTTGAACTGTATTTGCCCAGTGGTAAATTATCAGAAGGAAGGAAGCTTTTATCAGAAATATGTTAGAGCTGGAGTCAGCTGTGATAAAATGAAGTATCCTTGACCTTGAAGCTTTATCTTGGTTTGCAGAAATCTCATAAATGGACATGCGAAAATCCAGCCAAACAAGCAAATATTTCATAGGAATCATCAAGAATTCATTTGGAAGAAGTATTTAGGTTGAGATGTCAGGGACTGTTAAATATATTGTGATCTTAACTAATATCTCACATTAAAATCATGTTCTAGTGACAGAACTTGAAGCTTATCTCTTAGAGGAAAGCCGTTGTTATAGGGTTAACTCTGGTTTTTGCAATTTAAAATTTTTGTGTGTATGTGTGTGAGGAAGATTAGCCCTGAGCTAACATCCGTTGCTAATCCTCCTCTTTTTACTGAGGAAGATTGGCCCTGGGCTAACATCTATGCCTATCTTCCTCCACTTTATATGGGACGCTGCCACAGCATAACTTGACAAGTGGTGCCTTGGTCCGAGCCCTGGATCCAAACCTGCGAACCCTGGGCCACCGAAGCACAGCACGTGCTCTTAACCACTACGCCACTGGGCCGGCCCAGCAATTTAAAATTTTTTTAGTACACTGCTAAAGGAAAGAGGGAAGTACTGACAGCTTTTAAGATAAAGGAGAGAGAAGTAATCCATGTATTTTTAGTGAATATATTTAATCTTTTTATACCTGATTCAACCAGTTTTTCTGGTTTCAGAAGTTAAGTTCAAGACCAAGGACTGATGAACTTTTTATTTTGAAGGAAAGAATCCAAAGGGAAATACCTCAGTATTGCCTCCTCTCTCATCCTTCTAACTCCAGTCTTCAATGGGCATTCTCCGAGTGTTCAATAATCGAGTGTATGACGAGTTTGCTTTAGTACTAGCTTATAGTTTAAGAGGAAAGGGAGAGGACGTGAGATGCTTAGTCCTAACAGTCCAGTTTTTCCAAAAATTCTTAAACTGTCAAAAATGGAGTTGGGTCTTATTTTCCTCTGAATTTCCAACTGACAAAACCAGTTACTTTTGCTTCCAGGGCAGTGCTCCCACTTGCCACTTAGGTGTAACCCATAGTGTGATTCTGCTAATTAAGGCCTTTGTTCATTTTTACAGTTCACCTCTTGTGTCTAGATTTCTCATCTGTTTGAAACAGTCCCTGAATATAAATATTGAGCTGGATTTTTCTTATCTTTCTCCACAGGATCCCATACCACATGACTGTTCTCTACGTTTTCCTAGTCTCTAACTTCTTTCAGATATATGTACAGTCTGATTTTTTTTTTTTTTTTTGGTGAGGAAGATCAACCCTGAGCTAACATCTGTGCTAATCCTCCTCTTTTTGCTGAGGAAGACCGGCTCTGAGCTAACATCTATTGCCA